CGATTCGTGAGTTGGACCAAACCATACATAATGAGGACGACGAACGATTGGATGTGGTCACTCCGCGTCAGCAACGAAGTAATCGTCTCGTGTGAACACGTGTAAAGCACGACTCGATTCGCGCGGCCTGCACATGCTCACACACGGTGATTGCAATCGGCACAGACCCCCCCTTAGGCAACTCGCAGCTCTGCGATGATATGATGACATGCTCCGAGAGCTCAGAGTCGTCATACGACCCGGAATACTTCACCCCTTGGATAGAAGAAAACCTTTGAGAGAGATACCCCTGCCTAACAGAAAACCGGTTGTGTCCTAGGGAGTTTCATTGCGCCACTACCAGCGACCCCCGCTGCTATGACTTCCCCACTTCATACCATACCCACTACTTTATCTCCCCTGGCTTCATCCTTATCTCCACTAACTTCCCTCCCTTCCGTCTTCTTTCCCGTATCATCAACTCAGGGTCATCCCGTGGAAAGCCATAGCCTGCTACTGACCCAGCACGTCCTATGGAAATTGCCGACAACGCGGCAACCAGAGAACCCCGGGACCGCGAGGGCCCAGCCAGAACGTACGACGGCCGGCGCCACGTGGCAGCAACCGACGGACTGACTCATCGGAACCGCACCCACCCTGAAGGGACTGTTCGACAAATCGCCGCCCTCAAAACCGATGGATCGCACGGTCTTGAAAGACCCGCGCATGCCATCTGCCTTATGACCTGAAGTGGTCCGCCCCCTTTTTGCCAAATTGCACCCGTGCCCCCGAAAAACCCTACCACAGGAGATCTCAGTTATGACCTGAGACTCCAGTCACTCCACCCCCACTTTCCAAGAATCCTTGGCACACCCCTTTTCACACTTCTAGGCCCACACTCTACTCCGATCAGGAAGTCGCGCTGGGCGTGAGGTTGGTATCGGAGCCCGACACGTGGCCGGGTTGTAAGGACTAAAGGCGTGATAATTGAGCGATCTGGCTAACTGAGGGCGACCTTGACATCGGAACGCGAATAGATGCGAACCTGTCATCACCCGATGTAGATCGGCTAATCGACGGGCAGCCAACATCTATGTTCCCCCCTGGCCGTGGCCTAGTTCGGTCGTCGCCGCGGCCGCCGACCGTGGACGGGACCCTCCCGGCCACGGGCGCTCCGGCCGAGAACTTTTGGCTGCGGCCGTGGCCGTGGCCGAACATAAAAACTTAAAAAACGGGG